GCTGAGCAAATTTTTAATTATCCTTTTTGCCCCATATGTGTCAATTTGGCTGGGCCCTGGATCTCAATATGAAGTAATTATTCTATACTTTATTTTCACTTGTTATGTTCACAAGGCAGGAGGCAGTTATGTTAATAAGGTAGGTTGTAAAGGACCTCCTGCCATCAAGAAAGGAGCATGAGGATTGGGGAGCATTGTTTGGAGCCAGGGCCCCAGAACTCTCAGAAAAAGAGCCTTCCCCGTTGTGGCTGAATGTGGAATTCTAGCGCCCTCAACTGTGGGAAAAGAAAATGTGTTTACTGAAGACTTTCCCTTATGCCATATTACACCCTTGCTCAGAATGTTAAGTCTGTGCTGAAAAGAAGCTAAAGATCTAGGTGTCATCTCAAAACATCAAACCCACTGTATCACTGAACTGAGTCTGATTCTGGTGGCCCTGCACATTACAGAGCAGAAACGAGCTCTGGGGGCTTTCCTGTCTTCCTCAAGGATGCACAGTGTCAGACCTATTCTCCTGCAGTCATGGGTCTGAGCCAAGCTTCTGGTTAGTAGTTGAGCACACACAACTTGTTCTCTTCACTCTACCTTGCTCCCTTATCTGCTAGCTGCCCTCTCACACACCTGCCACATTCTACCTGTAGCAGTTTGTTGCTGTTGTTACTGTGTGCCGTTGCTCGTCGAGAAGGAACTGACCCACAGCTGACCCTCCGGTGAGTTTCCAGAAGCAGTAAACCACACAGGAGGTTGCCCATCCTTCTCCCGTGGAGCATCTGGTGGATTTGAACCAGTGCCTTTGGGACTGCAGTGTAGTTTCTAACCATGAGGCCACCACAAATTCCTCCATAGCAGTGGTAATGCAACGCACTCAGAGACACAGAGCAGTCATTACGGCTGGGAAGGACCTTTGTGGAAATCCTATCATCAGGAGCTCCTAAAGCAAATTTAAGAGACTACAGAAGTCACAGTGGAAATGAAATAGGTAGGGCAAGTGCTGTTAACACAGGCAGTGAGCTAACAGAACACAGAAGCCAAACAGATGCAAAGCTGTTAATGTGATTTCTATTACCAGCACATCTGGCATTTGTGCATGCCAATAAGTGTACAGAATGGTCTATGAAACCAATCCCAATCATTCAAAATGACACTGAATGAACACTTACCTCCATAGTAGCAGCTCTTAAAAATACAATGAACATGGTCCTGGTCCTGCTGTATCAATATTATAGAAGAAGCCAGGTAGTTTAAGAGGGGAAGAATACAAAGACTTAACGAAATTTTCTTTTGTTATTGCACTTTTATTCTACACATTTAGTTTGTTACATTTTTATTTAACACTGTAATAAACATTAGTCTTTTAAAACAAACCAATGAAAAATTACATAAAGACAAAAGACAACAGGCTGTCCAGACCACTTTGCCTTTCACTGTCTCTGGACAAAGGAGCCTCCCCAATGCCAGGTGTTCACACAGTCTCCACTTCCCCTCCAGTGGGCTGGATGTTATAAAAAAGCAGAAATGAACAACAGAACCCAGTTAAAAACTGTACAGCAACTTGAGTTCGCCAAGGAGTGTGTGCAATACAAAGGTTTTTCAAGGTCATGCCTTCTTACCCTTACTTAACCTTCCAAGCTGGTTCCACTCATAGTGACTCCCCCCGCATCGTGTTTTCAAGGCTGTGAACTGCAATGGAGGAGAACATGCACTCTAGAGGTCCCAGGGAACCACTAGTGGATTTGAACCACCCTATCTTTTGTCCTTTTAAAGGAAAAGTTATTTGACCCAACAATTTTTTGTTTGTTTATTTTTTAAAAAATCAAGCTTAGAAAATTCAAAGGGAAAAAATACTCTTGGTAGTGGACTCTTCCAGGGCTGTTCATCCCCCTGGGATGCAATAAGGACTCTGGCATTTCCATGATTAGCCAGAACTAGTTTCAAGCATGTCATCCCTACAACACAAGGGCCCCGACTTCTGCTGCTCAGCTTCTCAGTGCTAAGTAATAAGCCAAAATATAAAGTGTCATTCAGTGCAGTTAGCATGTTACAGCCCCACCACCCCAAACTACTTCCCCTGTCAGGAAAAGAAAAGTTCCAATCTCTCAGACTGCGGACAGGTAACTAGTCTACAGGTAACTAGTTCTACTGTTGCTCTATTTCTATCCCTGGTAGTGATGGAGCCTCTCTTAAATTTTGCCATTTCCTTGAATTTTAGTGTTTAAAAATGAAGAGAAGCTGCCACCAGGGCTCTGTTCCTCCTGAAGTTGATGGAGTCAGAAGTGACTCTCTTTGGCTTAGGAACAAGCAGCATGGTCCTCTTTCCCCGAGAAGCAAAGCGCTCGCTCAATCAATGGGACATTCTCCTCAGAGGATGAGAGGAGCTTGGCCATGGCTGTGGAAGCAGCCACACTAAGCCTTCCTCTGTGGGTCAGCCTGCCCTTGCCACCAGCTGGCTAATCACAGAGTCAGTTGGGCGGCCTCTTTCCAGGTGCCATCAGCATCGCTTCTGAGGCAAAATGAGTAACCAGGCTTCCAGAGTCATTGTCTGGCTGGGGCCAATGATTCTAATCACGTTAATTACGAGGGCAGCACACGGAAAGGGCGACTCTGTCACACCATCCATCATCCTCCCTTAGCCACCACCTGACCTCACCATTTGGAAGCATGGGCAGTCACAGAGAGCAGGTCAGTTCTTCAGGAGTGTGACTCTGCTGAGTCCTGGACAGCCCAAAGGCCACCAGACATCTTGGAGTAACTAGTGTCTTCCCAAATAATATACAATACAGTACATTTCATGGCATCCCATGACTTTAGTAACGATGGGTGCCAAGGAAGAAGAATTCAAACTTAGCTGACAATGTTACAAAACAAAAGCAAATATACATACATCACACACGTGTGTTCATGCACTCAGCCTGCTGAGTGTTTAAATAACATCCCCAAAGATCTCTGTGTGAACTTTGGCTACTCTGGAGACTTTCAGGAGTAATTTGCACCTTTTCTTGAAATACTTCTTTTTAAATGAACTGTAACACACCCTCTCTTCTTATGTAGTATTAACCTCATCCTGGACAAAAATTGTGAGGAATATGGCTAGAAAATCGGTGAGGGCAGATTAAGCCACAGGTAACAGACTGAAATGGAACTCGGAGTGCGGAGTGGGGGTGCGCAGGGGGGAACCTCACCTCCCAAGTGTGAATGGAAGTAGGAGTTCAAACTTCTAAAAAAATATTAGCAATGTGGTCTTCCCAACAGGAACAGATAATCTGCACTAAAAGAAAGACTGAGAGGAGGACCAATAAAAGGCTTCCTTACATAGTTCAAATAAGAGATTTACACTTACTTTCCACTTATTTTTCACAAGTAGAGACCATTCACCTCTCCCTTCCTAACTGGAAGTCTGGCCTCCTGGGAGTCCCATCAATGTCCCCACAAGGGCAACACGTTAATGCTGACAAGAATAGAGTAACTTCAAGGATCACTAATCACTGAACCCACTGCCATTTCTTAAAATCTTCAAATGTTTAAGGGCTTACATAACAGAGCTAAAGTGAGTTTTTAAAAGTACATGAAGATCATATGAAAATGTCTTAGAAGACTCCTTGGATAATGTTAGCGGCCATCCTGGTGTGATTCTCACCAGTGAACGGGCAGCTCATCTTTTGCACTGGCTGGAGGATCTGTTTCCCACATTCTGGGCCGGGGCACAGGGGCCAGATCACCACTCTGAGGCTGGGCAGAATCTCTCCTGTTAACTCCTTTGTCTAGTAATCTAAATCTGCAGGACCAGTTTGGCTGAGGAAGACTGGATGATATTCCAATATTTAAACTATGTCCCTTCCCGTGGACAGCACTCAGGATTTCTCTCATCTCCACTTCCTGAAAAACTCTCCAGAAGACTCCCACCTCTCCTCTCAGCTGCAGTGGGAAGAGAACTTCCCTGGACAGAAGACACAAAGGTAAGAGCTAGGCTGTTCCCTATCATTGCATTCTGGGGTTTTCCTTAAAACAAAGTTCACTTAAAATAAGGTAAAAAGAAGGGACATATTGCTGAAAAAAGTCTGGTTAAAAAGCCCACTGAGCAAGTTTTTATAAAATGTCAGTGTGTTAGATTCAGAAACAAAGAAGAGTTTCCAATTTTAAGTTTTTAAAACAACATAGGTCTGTCTGGGCCCAAGGCCTCCAGAGCCATCCTTCTCCTCAGGTCTTAGCAGATACAACACAGTGGGTCAGCTGTGCTCACTCAACCCAAAGTACCATGTTCTCTGGAGACCAAGAATAGACAAAATAGGGGTGGGGGGAAAGACCCAAGGGAAGGACAGATTCTGCTCTGGGTTCAGCAGTAACTCCAAATCCATTAGCTTATATACATACATACACACATCTTTTTTTTTTTTTTTTTTTTTTTTTAGCCTCTTGGTAACGTAACAGTGAAACCCTCCCCTAGAAGAAACCAGGGGTATGTGGTCCTGTAAATGTAAACACACTGGTGTCATAAGAGACAGCTCTGTTTCTAGCATCCTCCCTGGGGCTATGTTGTAACCTGAGATCTCTAGCTGCAGACAGCAGGAATCAGGCATCTGAAAGCGATTTCTGTTGTTCCTATGTTACAAGGACAGTAGAGCTATGTTCAGGATTGCTAAGGGAATCTACCACTGAGTGCGATCAAACGGTGGAAGCCATGGCTATGAGTTAGTATTATTGCCATGACATTATTCACTTGGTGTCTTGGAAAGAAAATACATACAGTGAGCAGATGATGGTGAGATTCACCTCCGTATCCATCTGAAAAACAGAACAGCCTACATTTCGGCTTTTACACGTGCTCTGGAAAATCTCTTTTGCTAAAGAGTCAAGTCAGCGTGGAAAGACCATGAACTGCCAATATGCAAACAGCCATCTACCTCTTCACTACTCAAGAGTCACCTTTGCTTAGGAAGGTCTCACGTTGCCCAGTGCGCAGCAATTCCTTTGAGAACTCACAATAGTGAATAAATTTCAAATTCTCCCCATGGCCAAAAAAGTTGGGGGGGACGGGAAGAAACACAGAGGAAGAGAGAAAATTCTCTCCTTTGCCTTCAGGTGGAGTCCTCCAGTCCTCTGGTTTGCTGCCCAGAAACTGACTTGCACAACCGGTCCATGATGCTCTGGAGCATGGGCTGGACGATGCCCAGAAGAGGCCTCTGGGAGGGGTCACCGTCCCAACAGGCTTCCATCAACTGCCAGCACTCCTCGTCAAACACCGGGAGACGCTCTGGACGGGCCCCTAGGGGAGGAACATGGAAATAAGATTAATGACAGGAAGACCAACCCAGTGAGCAGGCGTGACTCGCCACCAACTGGTTCATTATTTAGTTGGGTTTCAGAATGTCAAAGAATGCAGGCAGCTTAGACTTCCACTGCAAAAATCGAGGTTAGAGTAGAAATAGTGATGAAAAACTGAAACATACTGGCACAGGAAGCCGAAGAACTGGAAATTCTAGAGGAAAAGGTGTGCATGGTTTTCTTTCTACAGCAATGCTACCGTGAAGCAAGGGTCTGATCTAAATGTCTTCTTGGGATCCCGTGAAGGGCTCTGCTGTGGGCCCCAGGTGACCGCGCTCAGCCGGGACATGCCTCTTACCTCTCCGCACATTGTTCCAGAGGTGGTCTTTGCTGGCACACCTCTCAAACGCCTCAGGGAGCTTGACAGAGCCTGAGCAGATATACCAGAAAAGAATCCCAAAAGCGTAGACATCCACGGAATTATCATACTTTCCTACAAGCAACAAGGAATGCAAAGAAGTGAATGAGAGAAGGCCTGGGTAGCACTGCCACTCTCTGCACCTGCCAAAGTGTTTACACATTTTGTCTGAAGCCTTTAACCTCCATTATCTCTTAACAATAACCCTGTCATGCAGGCAGGATACGTTTATAATGCCTATTTCAGAATTCAAAACCACTACAGCACTGGAAGGTGAAAGCCAGGGAGTGTCAAGAAGCAGCTGTGGACTAGAACTTGAGAAGAAGGAGGAGTAAAGCCTTTTCTTTCCTGAACAGTCAAAAGAGAAACCCTAAAGGGCTGTATGCAGGACATGAAGCTGGGAAACACAGGTGGGTGGGCTTGGAAGCAGTACAAGGAATTTTAATGTCAGAGAAGAGTCTGAACTTATTAGGCAACAGGAAGTCATTTCTGCTTTAGAGCGGGAGATGACATGAAGAAGATGCTCTGTGTCAGACTTTCTGACGTCAGCAGGGTGGCGCAGGTGTGGGATCACCTGGCCTGTTTTCAGCACTATGGCCGACACCTGAGGCTAATGTCTTTCTGGGTCTGATGCTGACTGAGCTCATAGGGCACATCGTACTCTCTCATGGGCACCCGGAGAGGCCCACAAGCCCCGAGTCCTGAAGTGCTGATCATGGGGCTTTCCAGTTGGTGGAGAGAAGGACGAGCACAGGGAAGCACTGCCCTGGGACCTTTTGAGACCTCACCTCATGTGCCTCAGTCTGTCTCCTTTCGCAACGTAATAAATGTGTAATGAATTCTCAGAATCATTCCAGTGAATTAGTGAGTCCACAGAAGCAGTGAGAGGCAGCAGGAACTGGCACCTGCCTCTTTGGCAGTGTGAAAGATGGTGTCCTTCTAATGTGTCAGCTCTGCCCTAGCTCTGGCAGGTAGGATCTGAGAACTGCTGTCATGGATAGCTGTTCTGAAAGACGATGTCTGCTCAGTCTGTGAGCTCTGACCCAGCTCTTGGTGATGAGGGTCAGAGAGAGGGTGCTATGTGAGGGCCTGTGACAGGATGAAGGAGGAAGGTGAGGTGAGGACTGGCTCCATTCGCACACCACGGGAACTAGGGTCATGCTGGTCCTTCCCGTGCACTTAGCAATGTGGGTACGATTTGCCCACTGACCCTCTTTAGCGCAAGCAGGTCATAGGAGAAATAATGAAAGGAATGTAAAGAAGAAGTAGTGAAAAAAAACCCCAAACAAACAATATTGGTGGGAATAGAGATTAAATACAAAAAAAGAAGTCATTTTTAGGGTCTTAGCTCTTTGGTACTGCTTTAACAGAACGATCTCAAATGGTTGGCTTTAACAAACAGAAATTTATTTTCTCACAGTCTGTTGTTGTTAGGTACCATCGAGTGGTGCACGAACTCTGTACTATTCTGTGCTGTCCTCACAACCTCTGACACGCACAAGCCCATTGCTGCAGTCATTGTGTCAATCCAATTGGTTGAAGGGCTTCCTCTCTTTTATCATTCCTCCACCTTCCTAAGAAAGATGACCCTCTCCAAGGAATAACCTTTCTTAGCAACATGCCCCAAGTATGTGAAATGAAGTTTTATCATCTTTCCCTCCAAGAAGCACTCCGGCTGCACTTTCTCCAAGACATACCTGCTTATTCTTTGGTAGTCCATGGGATATTCAGTTCTCTTCCAACACCACAGTTCAAAGGCTTCAATTTTTTCTGTCTGCTCAGTTTAGAGGCAAGACTAGTCAATTCTTTTGTGGATAGGCTCACACACCCTATTTACATATTCTCATCCAAATTAAATGGCTGGGAATGTCATTTTGAACAACAGACTCCACATCACCACAGAACTGTAAACAAAACTCTAAGAAAACATGTTCACACTGCCTAGCAAAAAATATATAAATATTTGCCCTCTTTCTATCTAGCCATTTTCCCCTGCCTGACTCAGATTCTCTCCTAAATTCGACCTCTAACATGAAATTATCAAATTTTCCAACCTTCATCTATTCATTTTCTAAACAATGACTTGTGGTGCTGGAGAAGAGTCTTGAACATACCATGGACCGCCAAGAGAACAAACAGATCTGTCTTGTAGAAGGTGTAACGAAGTTTCTCCTTGGAGGCTAGGATTTTGAAGCTCTGTTTCACACACTTTGGGCATGTGGCCAGGATAGACTGATCCTTGGAAAGGAATGTCATGCTTGGAAGGGTGAAGGGACAGCGCAGTAAAGGAAGACCCTAGAAGAGACGGGGGTAGGTGTGCTGGGGTCAGTGAGACTGGCTCAGGACAGGGGAGGGTTCAGAGCTGCTGTACAGAGGGGTCACTGTGGGTTGCAGGCAACTTGATGGCATACAACAACAACAAACAATGACAGTACATTTTGCAGCATATAATCACATGCTGTCATATTGTTCTCTAATTATATTACTTATTTTAATACATGTCTGTCAATTTTAAGTTCTCTAACAAGAGTGAATCAAAGGGGCCAAACTCGTTTGACATTTCTTAAGGTCAAGGAACTGAAGAACAAATTCAAGCCTTGAGTTGCAATACTTAAGGATGCTTTGGGCAGAATATTAAATGATCCAGGAAACATTAAAATAGTGGAAAGAGTATACACTGTACCAAAAGGAATTGGCAGACACAGATGAATTTCATGAAACTACATATGAGCATGAACCTGTGGTGATGAAGGAAGAAATTCAAACTGCCCTGAAAACAATGGCAAAAAACAACCCCCAGGAATTGACAGTGTATCAACTGACATATTTCAACAAACAGATGCTGCTCTGGATGTCCTCACCAACTTGTGCCAAGAAATCTGGAGAACAACCACCTGGAAGAGATCAGTATTTGTTCCCATTCCAAAGAAAGGTGACCTGACAGAGTGTGGAAATTATTGAATAATATCATTAATATCACATGCAAGCAAGATTCTGCTGAAGATTACCCAAAAACGACTGGAACAGCACCTCAACAAAGAACTGCCAGAAGTTCAGGCTAGGTCTAGAAGAAGCCAAGGTACTAAGGATACTGTAGCTAATGTTAGATGGGTCTTGGTTGAAAGCCGAGAGTACCAGAGGAATGTCTGTGTTTCACTGACTATGCAAAGGCATTTGACTGTGCAGATCACAACAAAATGTGGCTAACCTTGAGAAGAATGGAAATTCCAGAACTTGATCATGCTTATGTGAAACCTGTACTTGGACCAGGAGATCACGATAGAGCAAGGAAACACGGCATGGTTCAAAATTGGGAAGGGTATTATGAGCCAGGGATGTGTCTTATCTCCATATATTTTCAATCTACATGCAGAACAGATTATCCAGGAAGCTGGACTCTGTAAGGTGAAATGTGGCATCAGGATTGGAGGAAGACTCATCAACAATCTGTATTATGCAGATGACACACCCTGCTTGCTCAAGCTGAGGAGGACCTGAAGCGCTTGCTGCAGAGGGTCAAGGACTGCAGCCTTCAATATGGATGGAGGCTCAGTGTCAAGAAGACAAAGATTCTCACCACTGGGCCAACTGGCAGCATCATGATACATGGTGTCAAGAGATTGAGGTTGTCAACAGCTTTACTTTGTCTGGCTTCACAATAAACACTATTGGCACCAACAGCCAGGAAATTAAGAGATGAAGTGCATTTGGTAAGTCTGATGCCAGAGACCTCTCGAAAGTACTGAAAAGCAATGATGTCAGTCTGGAGACTAAGGTGTACCTGATCCAGACCATGGTCTTTGCAATTACTTGCTATGCATCAGAGAGCTGGACAATAATTAAAGATGACAGGAAGAGAATTGATGCCTTTGAGCTGTGGTGCTGGAGCAGAGTATTGAGTATACCATGGACTGCTAAGAGAACAAACAGGTTCATCCTAGAAAGAGTGGAGCCAGGCTGCTCCTTGGAAGCAGGGATTCTGAAGCTTCATCTGATTTACTATGGACATGCTGCAAAGAGGGACCAGTCCTTAGAAAGGGATGTCATGCTTGGAGGGACAGTACAGGAGAGGAAGACCTTCAATGAGATGGACTAATTCAGTGATTGGGATAACAGAGATATGTCAGAGACAAAAAGATTGGCACAAGATAGAGCAGGGTTTAGGGCTGTTGTACATAAGGCTGATAGGAGTCATAAGCAACTCGATGGCACATAACAACAACGAGAGTGAATAATTCTCTATTATGTAACCAAATAGGGGTTATTCAGTAAATACTTTATGCTGAAATAATTGGTTGATTATGGAGATTTATGGTATTAATATCCCAGAATGACATCCCAAAGAACAGCTGGTGTTTCCTACTGGCATTTTCTTTTCCCACATCCCTTGATCCCTTCACTTTCTACTCTACTTATCTTGGGCTCCCTCAGTTCTGGTCTCTCCCTTGCCTGGGCAGGACCAACCAGCCATACCAGGGGATACTACATAGACCTTGGGGTAGCACTGAAAGTTGAAATACTGTGCCCCCTGACCAAACCCACTCGCTGCTCTCCAGCCTTACCTGTGAAGAGTTCAGGGGCCATATGGATTGGGGTCCCCACAATGCTGCCTGACATCATAGCCTCTGGCTTGCAGAATCCCAGGTCAGTAATCTTGGCGTGGTTCTGCTTGTCAAGCTGCCAAGAGAGCAAGCCAGGAATCACCCACCCTGTCTCTCGCCCTGCACACAGCACTCTGCTGCACACACACACTCAGAAAGGAGGCAGTTCATCAAGCCTGCCTCCAACACCCCGGGCCCTGGATTCATTCCCACTTCTGTCCTCTCATCCCCAGAATATGAGCAACCAGCCGACAGGAACAGTCTTTTTCATCTTTGTGTTTCAGACACTTCGCATAGTGTTTAGCTCACATCAAGATCCCAAACAATCTTTAAAGGATGAATAAGTGAAGGTTCATGTAAAGACAGTGAAGAAAGCATTCAAGTTCCTGATTCTATCCTGACTTCCAGAAACAGGACAGAAAGGTGAAAATTAGGCAAGTGAAGTCCTCCAGCCTCTTAGGGAGAGTTCCATGAAATCCTATCACTTCTGTTCTTGAAGGGCCATGAGAAGACATCTATTTGGCTTTTGATAAGCCTCTTAGGTTTTAGCCTGTAATTTTAGGATTATCCGCTTTCTCTTAGACAGACAAAGAGTATGGATCTAGGTAAAGAATATACTATCGGCTTTCATAATACTAATCTTTTCACTTCTTAATGAGTTTAATTTTTTAAAAGAGTTGAGAGAAAAAGCAATTTCTTTAAGTATTATAAGCTAGGCTTATAATAAAAACCTGTGGGAGAACATTTTTATTGTATCCCCACCAAAGGTTTGGTTCAAGAACGTAAAATTTAAAGTTTAAGTTCAAGTGGATGATCTATTTGTTGGGCCATCAATTCTACCATTTCCTTCTGTTTTTTTCCCATGACTAAAGCTGCATTTAGGTGTACCCTCCCAAAAAAGGTTGTTAAACCCAGAAAGGCAGGGCGTTATCTGAGAAAACAACTCAACTTACCAGCACATTCTTCAGTTTGATGTCACGATGGACGAGTCCCTGACTGTGTAGGAAGCGGATTCCCTCGACCACATCAAGTGCTATCTGTAAACGTGTCTCCAGGGTCAGCCCAGCCTTCAGAAGACACAAAAGATTACTTAACAAGGCAACACCTTGACCTGGCCTTACCTGGGCCAACTGAGCATTCCTTCTGTGGGGTGCTAACAGACTGACTGTACCAGAGCACCAAAGGCCAGAGAGAAATGAAAGAAAAAAGCCAAAAACAGACAGAGGTAGAGGAAAGGTAAAGAAGAGCAAGCTATAAGGAGACACGGTCAGATAAAGCTCCTCAGAGGCTACATCTAGTCAGCTAGGAGAGGGTACATGCAAGCAACCCCCCTGAAGCACGATTTCATGTCTTTCTTTTTTAATTTTTTTTTATTGTATTATTTTTTTTACGTGTACCGTCTAATCAGATCTAACTGGTACTGGAGGAGATTCCCCCCTCCTTCTCCAGTAGAGCATCTGGTGGATTTGAACCACATACCTCTGGGATTGCAGTGCAGCATCTTGCCACTAGGCCACCAGAGCTCCCTTTACGACTTCATTTCTAATAAACTCAGGAGCTGGCTACAAAGATTGAAGTAACTTCAGATTCCTCAGGCCAATCTGCTTCCTCTGTTTTGTCGGCCTGGTTAGCCCAGGTTGGTGGATTTGAATACCAAAGTCTACCAAACCTCCCCTTGGGCCTCTTGGATTCTAGGGAACAACATTCCCCTCATTCAAGAGTTCACATAAGATTCTCTAGTCTACTTATGGAAAAAGACTTCTCTGAAACGGAGAAAGAAAACAGTCAATTGGAAAGCTATTTTCTTTAGCTTATTAATTCGTCATGGCTTCTGGAAGAAATCAATATGGTTTCTTCTGTCCTATTTCTAGAAGGTTCTATTTAAACTGGTACAAGAGCAAGTTGTGAGAAGGTACTTCTCTGGGGCTAATTCCTCTCCTTCCTCTACCCTTTTTTTCCTCCTCTATAGGACTTCACTTTAACTTTGGTTTTCACTCTAATAAAATCCATCAGCAGTTTCTCATTCTCTGTAACAAAATCTGGGTTCTACAGAAATTCTTTGGACCTTTGTCCTCCACAATTTGTAGGCAAACTCTCTTTGTACATCACCTCCTTCCATTCACAAAATGAAGCACCTTCTCCAAACCTACTAGTATGAGGACCTCCTCAACCTTCAAAGGTGATGCGGGCATGACACTGTTCCCTCCCCCTGGAGCGGTCTCTTCTCTCCAACTGTGCAAATCCCACCCAGCAAGGCGTGCTCAAACATACCTCCCCATGAAATAGTATTTGCTGCCCACACTTCTCTTCAAAGCCCCCTGCAATTATACTTCTTGGTATCTCCTTTGGGTGACACCATAAGGACTTGTACAAAACAGTCTCTAATAGGTAGCTGTTGGCTAAAATCCAAACCAAAAAACTCTAACGAAAAAAAAAAACGAAAAAAAAAAAACCTCTAATGACTGAGTGCAAACAGAAAGGAGAGCTGCAGGAAGCTCTCAGGAATTTTGGTGTTATTCTAAACCGGGAGAGAATAAGCAAGCTAGATTTTAATCAACTCCAGAGGAGCTCAGGGTGGTGACTGACAGTATCCGGGATATTTAATAAAAGCAGAGATATGTTAAAGGGTTTTGGTTGGTTGGTTGGTTTTTCAATAAAGATAGCAAAGATGATTACTCCAACAATCTCTCAAGAAAACTTCAGAGTAAGCAGGAGAGGATGACAGGTCAGCTAGGAACCTGTGGATCTGGTTGCCAGCCGACTCTGGCTCTCTGCTCCCAGCAACTCACCTTGAGCCCTGTGTAGAGGTCTCGGTGGAGCCGCTCCATAATGAGCAGCACGGCAATGCTGGAGCCCCCACCGTAGCTGTAGTCGATGACCGACCCATGGAGGTCCACCAGGCGCTCATGTTTCGGCAGAGACCTGGCAGGAAGGAGAGGAGGGCACTTGGCTGTGAGGCGGCAGCACTAATCGAGCTCAGCACACCCCGATGTGGAAAGAGCGCCTAGAGACCCCACCAGCTCGGGCCCAGAGACCCCACCAGCTCGGGCCCAGAGACCCCACCATCTCGGGCCCACAGACCCCACCAGCTTTGGCCCACAGACCCCACCAGCTTGGGCCCACAGACCCCACCAGCACAGGCCCAGAGACAAGGGCTCTCCACATGAAGGATTCTCCAACAAGGAAAGAAAAAAAAAGTAAACAATCAGAAATCTACAGACTGCTGAACTCCAAGGACGAGTGAACAAAGACAAATAAATGGGAGACGTGACTAAGAAGTTAGCGAGGTGAGAAAAGTAAGCCCAGAAAAGGACTTTGAAGAGCCTGTTTCTGGGCTAGACAACCAGTCTACCACACTGTGAGGCCTGGAGAGAAAGAACAGGGAGACCATGCTGTAGCCTGTCAGGCAAACTTCTACTGAGTTTCTGGTTTCTTCTGGATCTTTTTTGCCATAAAGATGAACATGGCCAGGACCTACCTCATGTAGTGAAACTCTAAGGCCAGGTCATTCCAGTGTTTCTCGTCTGGAGGGACAACTGACTTGAGGGCACAAGGGAAATGTCCGCCCCAGTTGTCACAGAGGTACACCACGCCATACTGGCCCCGGCCTAGCTCCTGTCCTAGTTTAGGTTTACCTGGAAGGCAGATGGACAGAGAAAAACATGGTTGGCTCTGTCTGGAAGCCATAATTATCAGGCTAAGAAGTTCTGGCCCATAGAAAGTAATCTAACTGGTTTAATTTAAAGAAACTTTAATGATGTTGTTTGAACTACATTAATAGCAGGACCAAACAGACTTATGAGTTCAAAAAACAAACAACTGAGCGCGTCAGATAGCTTTGTAAGGAAGGTCTGAGATTCTCAGCAAGGCTGCAAAGGAGACTAGTCCAGAGCCCACCTCCAGTTGACTTGGAAAAATGAATCAAGGACTCACGATGCAGCAAGACATCCTGTAAAGAACGACTTTCCAGAGAAAGGCGGGCTAGACGTGGGGCATGATCTTTTCGAACCTTCAGCCACAGGTCTTCTGTTTTCTCCAGTCGCCCTGAGTGGCCCGCTTCTAGCTAGGAGAGAAACGGAAAAGGCATAGGATTTATGGATTACTCACTTGTAATACAAGGACAGTAATATCTGCTTCATAAGGACGACTGTAAGAACTCAATTAGATGCAGGTAATGTGGTTAGCACAGAGACTGCACCCAGTGGACACTGAATAGTCATTTCCTCCCATCCTTGCCCCCAAACATGCATGCACACATCAAAAGGGACAAGCAGTCACGTAACAGTGATCTAGTATGGAAGTTACAAAATTATTTCTATTATATATTCCTAAAATACTACACATTTAGGGAGCCTTGGTAACTTAGTGGTCAGAGTTGTGCTGTCAACGCAAAAGTACAGTTCTAATTCACCAGCTGCCCATGGGAGAAAGATAGGCAATCAACTCCTGTCATTTACAGTCTGCAAAATCCACTGGAGGGTCACTATAAGTAGGTTCCAACTCGATGGTACATAACAACAAAATATTACATAAATGTAAAATTAATTCCTTGCTCAGTACTGTTGTTGTTGTGTGCTGTCGAGTCAGAACTGACCCGCTAGCGAGCTTTTGAAGGCAGTAAATTACACAGGAGACTGCACATTCTTCTCCTGAAGAGTGGCTGGTGGATTCGAACCAGTGCCTTTGGGATTTCAGCACAGCTTTTTACCACTAGGCCTTTATTCTCCCTCAGTCCAACTCAATTCATGGCCACTGAGCAGGAATCAGCTCACAGCTAACTCTCCAGTGGGTTTCTGGAGGCTGTAAATTGCATGGGAGGAGAGTGATCATCTTTCTCCCACAAAGCCTCAGGGGATTCGAACCACCAGGAGGCACCCTGTCTGGGTTAGCAGAGAAACTCCTTCCAGACTATGCCCCCAGAGCGTCCACTGTTCTCCTCAGAATGACAAGAATACCTATTTAAAAAATATGTGTTGACGAAACTTGCTAAGATACAATATCTTTTGATAAAACAGGAAAAAAAAAATTCTTACGAAGGTCTATGGATAGTTGTTGTTGTTGCTGTTGTTAAGTGCCATTGAGTCATAGACGACTCATAGCAACCCTATGAACAAAAGTCCTGGACACTTGTATAACTTTCGTCCTTTCTCCAGGTTCACAGAGTTTCCGGAGGCAAGCTGTTTCAGAAGTGGATGCCACTCCTGCTTCCAGGCTTGTTTTAATCGGGAAGTTCCACCAAACACTGTCCACCATGGGTAACAATTATCTCATCTGACACATCAGTGTCAGTGTTCAGCCTCCCAGCAACCACATGTTACTTCTGTACGGCAAGCGGACACACCAGGGCTATACAACCTAGAAGAACATTTGATATGGATAGTAGAAAGCAAAATATTCTCTTCCTGTGGATGAGGGTATCCTCTGCTTACTCCAGCTGTATCTTCTCATTTCCCACAAACTCACCTGCCGTAGGGAGGCTGCAAAAGCCTCATGAGAACTATTAAGCCGAGTCCGGAACTGGCTGCAAATGCTCTTGGCCAACTTAGAGGCACTGAGGCTCTCGATCGCTTCTTGGGCCACCTTCCTCTTCCACTCCAGGGAGATGGCAGGTGGGCTCACCCATGTGATGCGCTGGATGATCTGTCAGGATGGAGACAGCGAGGTCACTGAGGGTAGGAGAGAGGGATGGCTGCAAAGGCCCAAGCCCTCTGCTCTCTGGAGTGTCCACTCCTTAGGAGGAGGTTCTTAAGAGGGGAGCTGTATGAAGGCCGAAGCTCCTCTCCAGTTCCATCTAGCTCCCAGCCAGGGCTCAGCCGAGATGAAAGCATCAAAGAGCCGCAGAAGAGAAGCCCTGGATATGTTATATTCAGTGCCAGGCAGTGCCTGATAAATCTTCTGAACCAGATGAAATTCCGCATTAGGAACCACACTTACGGCCTCTGGCAATGAAGCCCAGTGCTGAGGTCGGGAGAAAGAAATATAATGACAGCAGCAAAGGAGATTCTTACGGCTGCATAAAAAAAAAAACAACAAAAAAAACCCAACCCATCTATACTCACCATTTTTAAGAGTTAAGGGGGGGAAGGTGCTATTAATAATTTTCTCACAATAGGTATAAACCAAAATTTTTCCAGGCAGGTCAATGAGGACACCAACTGAAGATCCTAGACACCAGTTCATCCCTGGGCTGACTAGGAATCATTTGCACCAAGAGAGGGCTGAAAACATTTTCTCTAAACAACCTACCTGCTTGATTTGCTCCCATAGCATCCTTGTCACTGAGGACCCTGAGTGAAATGTGACTTCTACATGATAGGCGGCATTTAAGATCTGAAAAAGAACATGGTGGTGGTGGTGTTCAGTGCGTCAAGTATTCTCGAAATTAATATGCCCCGAGTAGAGTGGCTAATTAAAAAGAGCAACAAATGATAAGTACTTCAGAAACAAAGTCCAGTGTCAGGGTTCCAACTTTGTCCCTCACTACACATGCAGAGTTGGATCGTGGGGACTCAGGTTTTGTGTCGAGTGTATGGTCTTGAGCCCCTCTTCATTCTGCTCAGTAACTGCAATTTTACTGCATTATGAGCAGCTCCCACACACAGTGGTCATGTCATAGAAAGAGAAAGTAAAATTGAAAAGGGATTGGTAAAAAGCTGAGTGGGAAATGCTAGGCTAATTTGAAGTCAGGCTTGTAGGTGGATTCTGTTTCACGTGTTATCTGCGACACGGTGTCTTGACAACCATTCTTTGGCACCCACCTGTTTAAGGTAATTACTCGTGATGTGAACCGAGACGTCCTGAGACTTCTCCAGGCTCTGCAGACACCGTTCCAAGGTCCCCACAAAGCTCTCACGTAGGTAATCCACAGAGCTGATGAGCTTGTTGGCCACGGCCTGATTAAGGCGGGAGATGATGAGCTCCTGGATCTGCCGGATGCAGCATTTGATCTCTCTAGTACCCACTGGCTCCCCATTGTCAGGGATAATGACGTCTATGGACACACAGAAATGAGTTGGTCAGCTATGAGGGGGAAGGAACAGGTGCCCTAAATGAAGGGGTTTCCCATGTCAGTGCCAAGGAAATACCGGCAGGATGGCTATGCAAACACAAGACTGATGACGCTTAGCTAGAGCAAGGGCCAAGTAACCCTCAACTACTTACGGCATTTCAAGATCCTGAGAAGCCATCACTGTGTCTAAAATGAAGCTGGGTTCATTTGTTGGGTGTTCTGTCACATTTATAGAAGGAAACCACCACTTACTGAATGTAGACGATTTGAGAGGCACAACAGTAACTATTTTACTGTAGTTGCCTTAATCCTCCTATACCTTTGTGAGGTTGGCATTATTGGTTACATATCACCGAGCCCTTGGAGGACGAAGCTGACACTGGGAAGGGGACAGGGTAGTGAGGAACTGAATCTACAGCTGAATGCGTACAGTCTGTGGTCTCTGGAATATCTCATACCATCTAGCATATTCAGGAGAAAAATCAAGAGGCAGGAATTTATTTACTAGATGAATAAAAAGTAAGAGTCAATTGTTCTCACTCTTCTACCTTTCAAACTCTTAGACTCACTGCAACTGAGTTGGAACCAGCCCACAGCTGAGCCACCACTGGATTGCTGAGGTTGTCAATCACATGGGAGGAGACTAGCTCGGCTTTCTACCCTCAAGTCTCGGGCTGACTGGAACCAGCAGAGGCAGGGCCTTTGGGTTAGCAGTGCCAACACCGTACGGACTGTCTCTCACGATTAGAAAATCTACTTTCCAAGTGAGAGGATAAAATAATTTAAGAAAAGACAAATTATATGCAAAAATACCCTTAAAAAGTATTCTCATATCTGCTGGTGGAAATTTACATTATAACTTACTTGCATAGAAAATTAAATAGTGGTGCCACCTCTTTGGCAATATCTATCAAAATTTTAAACCAACAAATGAATGAAAAGAAAGTCCACATTGATCTAATTACTCTACTTCCAGGAATTTTTTCCCCCAGCTATCTGTCTTGACAAGTTCTAAAGATGTATATTTACATTAATAATCAATGTTGCTGAGTCTGTAAGGAGGAGTTGTGGTAACAGGAAACACCCTAAATGTTCATCAGTAGGGGAAGGATTAAATAAATTCATGTATATTAATTAGAAGACAGATCTGTATGCACAATTCTGGAAAGCTCTCTTGAGATATGTTAAGTGAAAAAAAAAATCAAGGTATAGAAGAATAGATAAAGGGTAAAGGGGGAACTGGAGATGGTGCATTTGTACCTTTGAATAAAATACCATCTTTGAATAAAATACCATATTTGTAGGTATTCAAACACACAAAAAACTCAGTAATATAAATCTAGCTCCATATGAGATAGTTCTCCTCTAGGTCTACTTATCATTGGCTTCCCCAAGGTAAGTCAGCCTCAAGAATATGCAGAAAGGACTAGTTAAGGTACAAATCAAAGAAGTAAGTCACATCTAATATCTAGCACCAACTTAGGTCTTAGATGCACAAATCTATAATGTAGTTAATAGAGGCTTCTGATCAACTTGGTCTTAGTTATTCCCACATCTGTTTGGCTAACTACTATATCCAAGGCACCAAGCAGAGCAGGCCTGGCATATACTTGTTGTTAAGTGCCATTGAGTTGCTTGCGACTCACAGCGACCCTATGTACAACAGCCCTAAATCCTGTTCTATCCTGTGACAACCATATTGTCTCTGACAAATCTACCCCCATTATCCCATTCATATACTAGATCATTAAATGTTTTAATATCTTCCCAACTTACTTGCCTTAATCACCCTTTATCATGTGTTAAGAAATCAGGCATCTGTGTTAGCTAAGTTAACTACATGCCCTTTATCTTTCTAAGTGGGACAAAGCATCATTTATATACTTATTCATTCTCCAAAGATGCAGGTATAAAAGACCATGTTACTTGCTGCATGATGTTGCTGAGATTCAGATAACTGTAGGGATAAGGCTCTCCAAAGTTTCTTTTTTTATAGTTGTTTATGTTCCTTCTATTTTTATAGTCGCTTATGTTCCTTTCTTCTATTTTTAGAAAAAGGAAACAAATGACTATAAAAAAAGTAAAATATTCAATAAATCAGGTACAAATTAAACATAGCGGGAGTTCAGGTGAATGATATTATTATTATTTATAAAAATTAAAGAAGAATGCATTAAAAAATAGTATTTGAGAGAGACCTTTAATGACAGGTACCAAAATCCTTCAATTCTAACACAGAGCAGCCCTACTGGCCAAGGCCGGGATTGCCCCCAGGACTTCTAAGGCTGTCCATCTTCACAGACCAGGCTGCCACACTGTCCTTCCTCAGAGCAGCGGGTGGGTTCAAAATCGCAACCTTTTAGTTAGGAGCTGAGCACTTTTTTTTAAAATTTTTATTGTATTATTTTTACATGTACCGTCAAATCAGATCTGACTGGTACAGGAGGAGATTGCCCCCTCCTTCTCCAGCAGAGCATCTGGTGGAAGGAGCTGAGCACTTTAACCACTATGGCAGGAGAGCTCCAAAGAGCCATAATTTGGAAACTCAGAGTCAGATAGAAGACATTTCAGGTTTAGGGTGGTAGCACATGAGGAAAATAAAAGTGAAGAGAGTGCAGGTGTGCAGCAAACAATTAAGGTCTACCAAAACAGAAATTATAAGAAAGTGCAGAGACATGAAAAGTTGGTAAGGAGCAGGCCTTGAAAGATCTTTAATACTAGGCTAAGGAGTTTGAAATGAGTCTGCAGGAATAGGTTGTTAGTAAAGATGAACTGAAGAAGAGAAAGAAACCAGAAAGAACAATTAGGAAATCACAATCCAGATGAGGGACAGAGAAGTGGAGTTAAGATGCAACAAGGAGGGGGGCTTGATAACTAACTGGATGTGGGGCCAACATAAAGAAATCATTAGTGACAATGCTGAGGTTTTGAAATGCACTTCCAGGTAGAAGACAGTATTAATAACTGGGAACAAATGAAATGGTGGTACAGCACAAACAGTCTCTGGAACAAGACTGTGCAAATTCAAATCGTGCCTTTACTCTTTACTAGGTGTGCAGAACAAACTGCATTAGGAAAATCTGCTATCAGGGACCTCTCTAGCGTGCTGAAGAGCAAAGATGTCAGGACTAAAGTGCACGTGATCCAGGTCACAGTCTGCACAATTACTTGCTATGCATCAGAGAGCTGGACAATGACTAAGGATGATAGAAGAAGGATTGAGTTGTGGTACTGGAGAAGAATCTTGAACATACCATGGACTGCCAAGAGAACAAAGAGGTCTGTATTGGAGAGGGTGAAACCAAGTTCCTCCTTGAAGGCTAGGACTTTGAAGCTCCTTCTCACATACTCACAGGGCACATTGCCAGAAGGGACCAGACCTTGGAGAAAGGCAACCTGCTTGGAAGAGTGGAGGGAGAGTGCAAAAGGAAGACCTCAAGTGAAATAGATTGACAAGGTAACTAGGGTAAATGAGAGTGTGTCAGAGTTACTGAGTCTGGTTCAGGATAGGGCTGGGTTCAGTTATTGTGCTATGAGTCGTAGCTGATTCAACAGCACATAACAACAACAAACTTGAATAATTTAATCTCTCTAAATCTTAGCTCCTTCATCTAGAAAATGACAGTAAGTAGAATCCATCTAGAGGCTCTTTTTGCAAAGAAAACACTGATGTCAGAGTTCATGTCAGAAATTCCAATTGACAGGTCTAAAGTGGTCTTCATAGTGATTTTAATAATTTCTCTACATGTTCAAAATAGCTCCTAGGATGTGAGAGTGATCTGGCTGTAATTATCTGTCACCCCTGATCTCTAGGGTTGATTCCAATGCTCTACTTGGCTAGGCAGGTGTTCCCCCCTTGATCGTCCCTCCCTGTGCAGTCAGTTGAAGAGAATGACCTCTCCTGTAGAATGGGGATTGTGCTTCGGTCAAGGGTAGCTGTGCTCCCCTGCCAGAACCTCCAAATAAGCTCTTAGGATCTAAAATACCTCCCAGGTGATTTTGGTACACAGTCAAGATTAACAAGCAAAGGATAACTTGTAAGCATTCCACTGTAATATGAGGTAGACCTAATGTTTATGCATGAGGTTTCAACAGAAGCAAGCAAACTCAGCAGCACCAGAAGCCTTGACCTGTCATCTTGGTCTAATTTTGTCACTAACCACTCACAAAGGAAAAGCTAAAGCCAGTATTTTGGGAAATCCTCCTCAGTTGGGTTTCAGGGGCAACCTGAAAAGAAAATATGGCCCAAGATTGAAAACAGAGCCAGTAAAGCAGCACGGGCCAGGCTGGAGCACCAAAGGTTACAGAAAGACTTGGTAACATTCTTCATCAATGCTTCTCCAGCTCCTACTGGGCTAGTCATCAATGGGAGATTCAAGATGAACTCAAAAAGAACAAGTTGAGTCAACAGTTCTGGAAAGGACAGACAGTGGATAGTCCAAGGTCTACTTCGCTAAATGATTTGAGATAAACACTGTCGGTAACAGCGAGACAGATGAGATTACCCTGAGTTTCCCTTTGGGCTTGAGAGTTAATGTGTTTAATTTCCAACTAGAACTAGACAAGGGTTAGAGGCGCCTGGAGGCCTAGCTCTCTGAGACCTACCTTTAAACTCCATGTTAGCAGCATCCTCTAGAAGTTCCTCCTTCATGGTGTTAAGTGTCTCAACAATCATGTCCTTCATTTCCTCCTGCTTCCGGTTGGCAATGTTCATCAGTGATTCATACAATTCATTCTCCTTTTTGCGCGTATACTCCAGGCGCTTGGGAGTAATCTGCAGGTCCCGCTGCATGTCGAAGGCCTGGTTGATGAAGATGTCAAGACAGCGGCAGTGCACCAGGTTCAGGGCCTTTGCTGCCTCCACCAGGCGAGTCTGCAGCACCTGGTGAGAAAATGTGCTCAGGTGCCTCAGCTTCTCGCTCTGCTCCACGAGCATGCTCTGCGCTTTCGTGTCCAGTCCAGGGGCTCCACAGTTACAGTGACTGCCGCTCAGGTAGCCCAGGTCGGCGAGCTGCCGGTACAGCGGGGACCTTTCACTATCTGTTCTTCTGGGGGATGAGTCAATGATCTCCGAGCCCAGCTTCGGCACTTTGAAAAAGAATATGGGGAAGGAAAAATACTCGCGAATTTCCTGAAGCTCTTGCTCATCCCTCTCCGAGAGTTCATCCTTGTGGAGTGCGTAGGCAATCACAGGCAAGAAATCAGTCACCAAGTCGCCCAGGACATCCACTGTGGGCCGGAGGCCTTGGCACGGGGCCACCACAATGTCCACTTCCTGGAAGGGGAAGGGGATCAGATCAGCACCTCACAGTCAGAATCAATCCTCCCCCAAGCTCCACCCTGTGTCCAACATCGAGATCTAGGCTGGGGAAGCTGGACTTGCACCCATCATCTGCTCACCCCTGTGATACGGGACCAAGATGCTACTCCCTAGTGCACTCCACTAAAGAGAGCGAAAAAGAACCAAGAAGAAAGGCTGCAAGTCCCCTTAGCTGTTGCTGATCAAAAGACTATCTGGCCCCTGCCTTCTTTTGCTGCTCGAAACTCCCGCTGATTCCCTCTAATAAAGAAATAAAACAAGTAATGGGGGGAAAGGACATTATCAGATTGTGACTGAGTCTGTCTGAAAGAGCCCTCCCTTTTCCTCACAGCTCTGAACTCATCATTCTAGTTGGCGAACTCAAACATCCTTTAAATCTCATTGCAGGGCATGTTATGTCATACCCTAAGACTTGTTCTGTTACATAACACCAGACACACTCTACTTCCCCTTTTTAAATACTCAACATACTCATGTTGTTGTTGTTGTGTACTGTCAAGTTGAATCTGACCCATTAGCTGATCCTCAGGCAGGTTTTCAGAGGCAGTTAATCACATAGAAGGAGACTGCCCATCCTTCTTCCACGGAGCAGCGGGTGGATTTGAACTGCGTGCATTTGGGGTTGCAGCACAAATTTTTGCCACAAGGTAACCAGTGCTCCCCAACATACTCATAGTTTATATCATTTTAAATGTATTTTTTCTGTTATCCTGTAAACTCTTTGAGGGCAAGGACCATGTCTGCCTTGCTCACTACTGTAACTCCAGTGTTCAACATATAGTTCCTGGCGAGCTCTGGTGGCCTAGTGGCAGGAAACTGTACTGCAATCTCAGAGGTGTGCAGTTCAAATCCACCAGATTCTCTTCTACTGAAGAGGGAGGAACAATCGCTTCCTGTACCAGTCAGATCCAATTTGACGGTACACACATAAAAAAAAAAAAATTAAAAATAAATAAATTAAAAAAAATTAAATCAACATATAGTCCAATTGTCATTTTGATTCACAGGGACTCTGTAAGACAAAGCTGAACTGCCCTATAGGATCTCCAAAGTGATAATCCTTAGAGAAGGAGCTCTGGAGCACAGTATGTTCCACGGTGTACTGCTAATCAAAAGGAAGTGGTTCAAATCCACAGGCTGCTCTGTAGCAGACTGAGGGGAACTTTGCACCCATTAAGATTTACAGCCTCAGAAGTCTGATGGACAGTTATCAGGAGCTGAATGGGCTCAGGGCAGTGGGCTTGGTCACCTTTCTAGAAGCAGACTGTCACATCTTTCTCCCACAGAGTGGCTGGTGGGTTAGAGCCAGCTGAGCATTTACTGAGTCTCCAGGGCTCCTTCAGTATCAAGCAAGCTCTTAGTATTAATTAATTAGCAATTAATTAGGCAGCAAACTAAAAGCCAGATTCACCAAACATGATTATCATTCTACTGTGAGAGTTTATAGGTTTTCCAAAGTCTTGTCTACTCAATTATTGTTAATACTTCTATTGTCATGATGTCTTGGTATAGCAAAGACTACAATTTGCCTTTATCTCTCTTACTGCCCACTGAGTTGGAACCAACATAGCTGAGCCTCCTGCAGGTTTTCAGAGGCTGTAAACCACACAGGAGGAGAATTCCCATCTTTGTCCTGAGGGGCTGCTGGTGGATTCAAACTGCCTGCCTTTGGGTTGGCAGCCTAACTCTTTAAACATTTAGTCAGCAGAGCTCCCTTCATTACTGAGGAGGGGGCTCTGGTGGAGCAGGCCACAGGAAAGTCGTGCTGCTCACCCAAAGGCTACACAGCTCCAGCAGCTGGAATCCACCAGGGCCTCCTCAAAAGAAAGAGAGGCAGTTTCCTTCCACTGCAATTAACAGCCTCAGAAATGCAACAGAGGGTTGCTGTAGGTTGGAACCAATCACACAACAGTGAGTTGAAGTGGGTGAGTTATTACCGAGGTAGGCAATGCCCCTTATAGATAGAGACAACCAATGAGATGGAAGTGGGTAGGGTTTCCAGGAGAGCTTTTTAGAGAAGGGTTGATTCTAGCAGAAATTTGCTGCTGGCTTACTCCCATTCTTACATGGACTGCAGATGTGATAGAAAGTCACTCAGTAACTATCAAGTAAGCAAACTTGAGTGTGGAAGCCAGAGTTAAGGATGATGAAGCAAAAATAAAGGAGCCTGCATCCCTGATAGCTAGTTCCTCCCGCACCAGCTCTGAAGTGCTTGCCTTCGGATTTCTTTCTGGGGACTAAGAGAGGATGGTGTGTGTCTCTGGCAGTACAAATTCACTGCTCCAAGGAGAAAAAGATGTGCCGTCTTCTCCTGTTACAGTTTGCAACTTCAGAAACCTAACAGATCAATGGCAGTAAGTTTGGGTCTGAGGGGGATGAGGGTTGGGAGAAAGGAGGCATATGTCGAGTTTAAATTCCTGCTTTTCTGAATATACTGGTTCTGTATAGAGTGTCTATGAGCTGTACTTGACTCAGCGGCACCTAAGGACAACAACAACAAGATGTGACTGAACCCATTCCTCACTGATACAACCGAGTCCCTAATGTCAATTTAAAAATAAATTTTAATTTAAAATAAACCTTCCCGAGGTCCTTTATCAACCAGTGTTAGTTCTGCTTTGAGTTTTCCTTTTCTCCTGAGGAGACTATTCTATTCATATAGGTTGCTTCTCAACATCTCCAAAACTGTCAACTTTTGCCCGATGTCAAAGTCACCATCACAAACACAAATGTCAGAAGCCTCGAGAGGTCTGCAAATTAAAAACCAATCCTCCACACAGGCCTAGTCTATCTTATGCAGCGTTATTAAAGAACTCAACTCAAACCTGCTCAAGTGTGTGTGTGTGTGTGTGTGCGCGCGCGCGCGCGTGCATGTGTGTGTGTGTGTGTGTTTTAAGTACCCGATCTTACACTTTTACTTCTTTTTAATCTTCCTCACTCCAAGCAAAGTACATTGGTCTCACCTCCTTCCTCAAGATAAAAGGAAGCTTTAGTTTCAAGTAGGTCACATAACTTTCATCTGGCCAGCTACCTTGAGTCTTCCAAAGTGCAAAGCGCCTTAGTATCTCACCAGCTGTAATTTGAGAAACTACCACATAAATCGACCAATTCTTTACTCAAGCCTAGCCACGAAGAAATCTGCAGTTTTATCTGTGCCTCAACTTGCACTGAAGGTTCCCTGGTTGGAACACGAGTCTGACAGATACTCAGAGTGCTCTTCCAAACAAAGCCCTGAGTCACACATGCTAGCATATGAATCACTTCAATGAGGCATATTAAAAAAGACAGTAAGTAAGGAAGTCTAAGCTTCAGAACAGAACATGGCATTGCAAAAATGACGGCACTTTAATTACATAATAATCCAATAAAGGAAATGGCAAGAAATGAAAACTTCTATAAATAAGGTTGGCAAATACATAGGTGGAAACATTGTTGAAAAAAATACAAATATTGTAAGGCTGTCCTAAATATCTACAATTTAACATAAAATATAAATTAAGCAATTAAAAGTATGATAGTAACACTTCAAGAAGAAAACCTAAATGCATTCAAAACCAAATTTAGGAAATTACCAGAATTTCATTTGCTCGTTTATTTGATAGACCGTCTTCTAAACTCAATTTCCAGGCTTTTTATGTGCAACAGAACCAGAAGTCAGAGCTGCTAAGTCTATCTGTAGGACCAGATTCAGTCTAGCAGACAAGTTAACTTCATTTCTTCTTAGGTGCAAATTCATTAAGGAAAATACCAAACTCAGGACTTTCAAATGGTAGGATATATACACTGGCACACAGAAAGAAGTTGTCCAGTTCTAAATACTTCCCACATTAAAAGAAAACGGACAGAAAAGAGGCAGCCTGGCCTCTGCACCCCGTTCCCCACTTAATTAACTTAACAGCAGTTCGTCTCAGGGCTCTATCATGAATTTCAGAGACAAGCTGAGAGCTGAAGCTGAGACCCTGGCAACGGCACAAACAAGACAGGAATGTGATATGTGATTCTGCAATCCGCACAGTGAACGGGTGACTCATGCCTGACGGTTATAAACAAAAAGGGAAGCCAGCACTGTCTCCAGGAGACAGGGAGTGAAAAAAGAATAATACTGAGAGGGCTAAGGCCGAGTTCCCCTGGTCCCATTACGGCCACCTGAAAGTCTGACCTCACATCTGTTTAATGCAAGGCCTCCACCAGGAGCAGTGCATGCCACTTAACAGGCATTCGATTTTAAACCGTGGAGCAAATGGAGAAATGATGCTCTTGTTAGTGACTCACAATCACTTTAGATCATCATCGTATGGGAAAGTTTCTGGCTTTCAACCCACATTTCACATATTTTAAAGATTTCACCTTACCTGGAATTGCTATTTACTCCCTGCTCTAATGCACTCTGGTCGTTAAGGAGTTGTGCTGCCAACCCAAAAGGTAAGAGGTTCGAATCTACCAGCTGCTCCAAGGGAGCAAGATGGGCAATCTCCTATGACGTAATTTACAACTTCTGAAAACCTGTTAGAGAGTCAGCTATGAGTCGGTTCTGACTCGACAGCAGTGAGCAGCTGTTGTTCAGTCTACGAAAAAGTAATGAATAAGCATTTCATTTTTCAGTCATGAAAAAGAGTTTAAGGAATCATGAAAATAACCTCTAGTTCCTATTTTGAGTCATACTGAATTTCTGAAGCGATTGCTTTTATAGAACACATTGAAGTGTTTACTTTTACAAACCCATGGAGTTTATAAAGCTGATCTGTTGCCATCATATTCCCAGCAGGATGAACAGAATGCAACAAGAAAGGAGTATGCACAACTTTGAAAATATCAGAATTTACCACTTTGCCTTTATTTTTTATATAAAATAGGCTTTACCTCAAAATGCCATAAAGTAATCACTGGAGAAGCCTGATTACTTCCATATTAATCCCTTAAGAATTAAGGATCTTCCTGGTCAGAACGCCTTTCTC